GTTAAAGTTGCTCACCTCCTTTTACTGTCACAAACACATGCAGAAAGGAACCAAATCAGTCGTGCCATGTCTTTTATTCCTTCTAGAGCTTTAGAAATTTTATTATTTATGTTGGCAGCAACAACCCAATCATCTCATAGCTTCAGCACGCTATCACTTGCTACCCCAAAAGCATTTTACATAAAACTTTAATCTCCATTACATATGAAAAATAAGGATGAGAAAGCTGTATTAAATTTTATTAATCCAGTCCTGAGTGCCAAAACATACATCTCTGATGCATCATAATAATGCAAAGTAAACTTAAACCAATTTTGGAATAATAATAAAATCCCGCCTTGCACTGGGTGCACCATTGCATCCAGCTCCAGCACACAAAACAAAAGCTTTCATCCATTTACAGTATTTTCTGTTTGCTTCTGCTGTTAACAGACTACAGCGTAGAAGGTCTCTATGACAGCAATTCTTAACAGTTGATGCCATGTATTTTATATCTTAAAGACTCCAAACTACATTACTTCACTATGAACCTTTGGGAAGTGGAAGAGAATTAGGAGAATAGGACAGAACCTAGATTCTTTCTATGTAAGCAACAAGTTCCACATCCAGGTAAAACCTTCTGCCTGGGGCTCTACCAGCTGTAAGATTTATTTTTTTTACAGGTAAAAAGAATATAGTACTGTCAAATTAAATTGGTTTGGTTGGGTTGGGTTTCCTCCCCTCCCCTAGTTTTTCGTCTGGGTATGTTATATGTTTGAACATCAAACTTAATTGACATGTGACACTAGATCCAGCACAATAAAAGCTAAAATTTCACTGTTGAGATTCTTGGGTTTTGTGAAATCATAGGCAACTGGAGAGAAACTACAGTGGATCTGTTACACAAAACACCTTACCATCCACTGGTGACATAACAGCATTCATCCTGAAGCACATTACTCGTTTTAAGAAACAAAGCAGAGTTTAATCTTAAAACATAAATTACTACAGCCAATTGCAAAACTTACAAACTTCTGTTACCTACTCTTTTAAACATCTGAAGCAGCATTTCTGAGTCAAATTTCTCATTCAAGCCAAATGCTGAATCTAGCCAACATTTCATATTCTCCAAGAAAGAGGAATTTTCTGTCTGGAAGGCTGAATTGGACGAGATACGCTTTGAAGGCTTGCATAAAAGCTGAGCTCCTACAGACTGACTCTTCGCTAAGCCTCTTAACTCCTCAGTTTATCCACTCGCCCTCTCCACCATATTTTACAGAAGTGAAGCTATATAAGGTTATCTTCTGACAGGGCGTCAATCAACACCATCTCATCGATTTCGGAAGAGTTATACCCATCTGCACGAGCAAAGAAGTTTACACATCGCATCTCTCTGCTTGTTGGGCTTAATACTGACATGTCCCAACACCTCCAAGTACTAACAAGAAAATACAGAAGAAGCTCCACCGAACTGTTAAGACTGTGAAGTGGCCCTGTTGATTTGAATGAATCTAAAGAAATAAAATAGATGGCAAGATTAAAAACCAAAGGGAGAGGGAACTGAGCCTACAGTAGATAGAGAAGTGCTATAAAGAAAACAGAAAGGTTTCAAACAAAAGACGACTGAAGAAGAGCAAAAAGACAGAAGTGATCCAGGTCAGGCCACAGAGGAAAAAAGAAAAAAAACAAACAAACCACAAACAAATATTAGCTCAGCACTAGAATTGCTCACAGAAAACAGGAACAATTCCAAGTAAAGATCTTCTCTTAGGAGGTTACGTTGAACTTTCATCCTCCTTAAAGCTAGGATGCTTAATCCACAGAAACAGGGCTTGTAATAAGCCTTGTTCATTACAGACTAGATATAAGCTTTACCTACTTAATGGTGGACCAGAGGAACGCTGAGAAGCCTGTCTAAGTTCTCACAGTGGTTCACAGAGCCACCACCTGCTGGAGACCAACACTGGGCTTACATCCTTTAAGATTTATGCCAAGATGAAAACAGATATTTTTTCACTAGAAAAGAAACAGGCTGGTGAGCACAAGGTGAAAAGTAAACTAGCATCATCTGAGTGACTCTCTAGACTGAAATACCAAGTAGTCACTGTATTATTTCATCACCTAGGATTGCTTTGGCAGAAGTCTCTCACAAGACCTTTAGGCCTTGTGATGAGCTACCCTAACGCCATGCCATTTCAGACAACAAATGAATACTTTTATGAAAATAAGGATATAATGTAATAAGAAAAATGACATGAGCAGAAATAAATGAGCACAGATTTAAAAATCATAGAAGAGGGTAGGAATTAGTCAAAAGTCAAAAAAACCCAGCCTGACGACAAAATTTTACTTCTTTTGGCTCACAGCTCTTCTCTCTGCGTGCATTCATTCAGATATGCTGACTTTGCAGACAAAAATCAATTTTTACTGCTTTTTATTTCTATGCGCACTATAGTGCCTAAAGAGCTATGACAATCTAAGATGGATTAATTTTTGGTTAATGCACCATGGACAAAATTACTAAGAGAATTCTACCTATAAGCCATTTCAGAAATCACAGGTTGGTACATTATAAATGTTTTTTGACTACATATTTAATAATCCTCAAGTACATCACTGTTACTATTGACTCCCTGCCAGATAGAAAAGGCACGACTAGAATTCAAAATCCCTGTAAATTTCCCTTTCAAAGCATATGGCTAAAGGGGGAAAATGCTGTTCAATTTACAAGTACAAAGTCTGAAACGTTAGTACCAGAAAAGAAGACGCCATTCTTACTGAGTCACTTTTAAAATTAGGATAAAATTATGTGTAATATATTTATACTCATATCTCCTGATTTGAGTGGATTGCAAAACAAACCCAGGGAAGTCAGATTACAGGAAGTTTGTTGTACTTTAAAAGAGAATTATTAGATTCTTACACAAATTGCACATCTGGTTTGAAAACCGAGGAAGAAATAAATATTGTGAAACCCACTTCTACAAAACTAGGGTAAGAAATATGACACTTGCTCATTACATATTCTTTGTAAAGGTATAGATGATAAAAAAAAAAATCTGTGGAAATATAAGAGTTAATCAAGTCTAATTGAATTATTAATTAAAACAATTTTAGCACAGAACTGTTGCAGTAGAAACACGAGTCCATCCTCTCCTTGAACATACTGCTCCCATAATGGGTTTTACATGTGGCATATAATTTTTCAGAAACTTTCTATAGAGTCCACGAAACTCATGAACCCATCACCATGAGCAGAATACATGGATCAAAGCAACTCATTACCAACATAACCCTGTGACATACATCACTCGCTGTGACTTCTGCACAGAGAGAGATTGAACTGATAACCATAGAGTAATTTAAATTTGAAACAATAAATTTGCCTTTCTAATGTCTTTACTGACTATTAAATTTAAACAACACCTTGTAAGGGGAAAATGGGTCACACACTCCTCTTGCATGCTTCTACAGTAAGATTATGGACTAGACTTAGTTGCCCATATTGAGATGCGCTGGCCCATTTGAGAGGCCCTTGGTAGGCCAAGGTATCATCAAAGTAATAGCAGATAGGGCACAGGACCTATGGAAGGTCTGTATCCATCCTGGGTGGAAGCTGGAGGTCAGACAGTGTAACCAAGGCCATCTCAACTGGCACCAGATGCCTGCGTGTGGTAATCTAAATGGAGTTTCTACACCAGGACTCAGCTCCAGACTGGGACGCCCTACACCACACAGACATACCTTCAGGTGACCACATTGGAGTTGAGTGCCAAGCACCCACTGCTGTCAGTGGACTCAAGAGAGCTATTGACTTCATCCTAAGGCCAATACTTACACCTCATCACCTGAGTAGTTCCCCAGGTTCCTCTGACTCTATGGACAAAGTTCCCATTGACTGCCAAACACAGATACTCAGCTCACACTACAGACTCTCGAACTCAGGTGTCCAAACCATGAGCCAAATTCCACCCTAAAGCTAGTTGGGATGATCGCCAACATAGGAACCTCAGTTTGGCCCACCTAATTTTAGGCAAACGAGCTCAACTGAATATAACTAGAACAATAATCATTAGTCAATGCAAAGAGACAGAAGCTTTCAGAGACTGATTCAGTTAAATGACTGATTTTGGATAAGACTAATCCACAGCTACCCGTATCCTTCAAGTATATCGGAACACGCTCAATCTCTTTTAACGATGGCTGTAGATACCTTATACAACCATATGCTGATACTGTCATTAGCTTTATTTCCTTCTCCCCTCGTTTTCCTATATTGTTCATTTGCTGCTTCTTTCCTAGTGAGTTATAAGACTTAAGATAACATGCTACCTTAACCACTGTCTTCTACAACACTTACTACAATCTTAATGGGACCCTAGATGGTAAAAAAGTAAAAACATGCTGGCTGATATTTATTTAGAACAAAATTCAGCACACCCAGATATAACTCTACAGGTTCACTTGACCATGCAGCCATCGGATTGACCCCAGTACTCGAAACTACCGAAAGCCCAACGAAGCAGTGCTAGCAGTCAAGTTACAGCTCTTCTTGGTCTGTCCTATACTTAGTATAAGTCCTGATACCACATTAGGTGTGGTCAAATATGCCTTTAAAAATTTTTAGCCCTGTTATAATTTTGACATTACAAAAAAACCAAACCAATTTTTCAAATCTCAATAGAGATACCAACAGTAAAGTTAGCATCAAAGTTTTCTTGCCAAGAGGTCCACTATTTTAAGCAACAGATGACAACTGCCAAGTTTGAAAGACACGAGTTATGCAGAGGAATAAAAAGATAACAAAGGAGGAGAACACTTTCAAAAATGCATGATCAGAAAAAAAAATTCAAACAATTGTTAGTATTTACGTAGCGGAGGAAGACTTGCATACATAGGAAAAAACTGCATTGTCTGCCATTTGTAAAGCTTGCTAAAGAGTGAAAAACACCAAAGACGAGCAAAATTGCCAGACCAAAACCAGCAACTTATTCGCAAAGAAATTCAAAGAATAAGATTACCTTGTTCCAACCTAAAGCACAGGGAACGTTTTGCAGCCTCTATCTCAGGACTTGGATGATCCAGAACACGTCTGCACCACTGCAGAGGACTCAGTGATTTCTCTTGAGGAGTGAGAGTCTTGGTAGGCAAGACGTACAACCTTAACCAAAATACAGACAAATATCAGCAAGATACGCAGTACTTAAAAGTTTACTTCTGTATTCTCATTTTCCTGCCCATTAATACCTTATGACAGTGCAAAGCCCTGAAATGTGATATCAAATAACAAAAGATATCCCGAAGTAGAAGAGTTTAGATTAGTTTCCTTCTTGTCTCCTCAGAAAAGCATGTGGCACAATACGAACTGTAAAGGTCTGGCACATCAAAACAAAGTTTGAGTAGATTTCTCATAAAAATCTTCCATCTCCTCCTTACGACTGTCTGAATTTCAGCAGTGCCCAAAGTTCAAATGCATTAGGTGCTGTACACGCGCCAAAGCTGCTTTCAGTTTTCCACTTTATATTTATCTTTACTGTAGATTAGATAATTTCAGTATTTGATTTTACATTTAAATCACTTCACTGTTATCTATTTCACTTTTACCTATAACAATTTAATCAACTTATCAGAGTACTGATTATAATTTAATTTTCATATACAGTATCTTCACACAGATGAACCAAAGCTTGTACGTCAGATCTTTAAAGACTAGAAAACATTTGCTGAGAAACAATGAAAATCCAATTTCGATACTCAATTCCAGCAGAGAAAAAAAAAAAAAACAGCCAGAAAAGCTAGTGTACATGCATTATCGTCAGACAAGAGTAGGCAACTAATCAGCTGGAAAGCACATTAGGAAGACAGGTATCAAAGCAGATTTCATGGGGAAATTCTTGACACTGGATCCCCGTTGCTGCTGCTGCCTTTACGGATTAGTGGACACAAGCAGACGCCAGTTCACCTGGGAGAGCACAAATCTCCCGGGAATGAAACTATTCTTGGCTGTCGGAGACGGCTCGCAGCTCCTTGGCCTCACTGCTTCTGATCGACGGGGCCACAGACAGTCAGAGGCAGATTCTCAGGCTCCAGCAAAATGCTCCACGGGATGCAAAGGAATCTGGCCTGCACCCACGGGGTGCAAAAGGCAAGCCAAAAAATAAATAATAATAAAAATGACAGGTAGACGCCTTTCACTTTCAAGGTTTTGGCCCAACAGTTACCCAAGTCCGCTGAGAGCAACTGTTCCCCAGTGTCTGCTCAATGTTGTTTTTCTTGTTTTTTTTTTTCCTGTGGTCAACCAGCACTATCTATCCAGCTCACAAGGAATAAACACCCTCACTGCGACTGCTATCTCTCTTGGCAATCCCAGCAGAGATCAACTATTGAATTTCTCTGAGAGGAGTGGTGCTCAGCTACACATTTAAAAAAATGATACTAAGAAAAACAAACAAAGAAAAAAACATAAAAGCTTTCCGCTTTCTTGTCAACCTGCAGAAGTGCTTCAAAAGACAAACATCTGACTGACGTTTGTGTAAAAAGCTGAACAGCAAAAAGAAGTCTGACTTGTCTGCAATGATGCTAATTCTACGTTTTTTTTGTAACTGCAGTTAAAAAAAAAACCCACAGAGGTATTTAAGGGTTAAAATTACTAATCAACAACTTGCATTGGTCTTTGGCTTTTCAAATAGCAGTTTTCTTTAAAGACTGACATTACAAAAAAGCCCCAAGCAGCTGGCATCACATAGCTGACCTTTCATGGACAATGACAGAGATTTAGCCTTGAACTAAAAACATGCAACAGCTAAACCAACTCACTCTTTGTGGAATAAATCTGTTAACAAATCCCTGTCATGAAATTCTTCCTGTGGCCACATAAAGTCTGTGAGTGAAGTTTTGGCCCCCAAAAAGCATTTAGGATTGCTTCCAGGGGGAAAAATCAAATAGGAAATTTTACTAAGCCACGTAAAATCGTGATGACTTTCTCCCATCCTGAAACGTAAACAGGGAAAACGTTTTGTTTAACAGGATAGGATCAAACAAATTTTATATTCCTTAACGTGAAGGAAAGTTAGGGCTTAGGACCGATGTAAAATATGATTCAAGTCTGGATTGACAACCCCAAAAGAGCCCTGCGCAGACTAACGGTACACAATGAAACAACACTGACAAAAATTTCCGTACAATTTGTTGACGATTCTCAAAATCAATTTTCCGAAACTGCAGCATGGTATTATTTGTACCATGAAGTACACACAACCAGCATTCGAGAAATACTGATGATATTTAGATCAATTTTTAAAATCCTTTCTCCTCTACCAAAAATAAGGATGTTTAAATGCATCTCAGCTGCGTTAGACTGTATTTTATTCTCAGCTGACTTAAACTTCAGCTCGATTTAAAAACTAACCACACAAAAAACTAGGTTGAAGCTTTGACAGATACTTAAAACAGTTATTTAAATATAGATAATCTATATTTTATTACTGACGCTTTAAAGCAGTTGAGCATCAATTATGTTTAACACGGTTACGCAGCCAATGATTTCCATAGTATTTCAGCAGTGTCCCTGCGATGTTCGTCCACGTTGCCGAGACAAGTTTTGAGGCACCAGGCTCACTTATTTATTTACATCTCTAGTCTATAATATCTATTTAAGTGACTGCAATCATTCCTCTAGGTCGATTTTCTTTTCTGCCGTATTCATCCCCTATTCATTTCTGCTTTATTCAATTTACTAGCACCCAACCGTGCCTTTTGGAGCTACACGGGTGCGTAAGATACACAACCAACCATTTAGATCAATGTCTAAAAGACAAAAGCCCTCCCAAATCCCTGAAGATGAGAGACAATTGGGCCGAGATTTTAGGATGGGGAGGCAGCGCTGCTCAGATAAAGGCTTTCCCGGAACAATTCCGCTATTTTTAATTCCTTATGTAAACAGGAGGCTGAAACTAGGCTGAGATCTGAAATTAATGAGAGACGATCTTCCTCCAAGCAGAAAACGAGCACAAATCCCCAGCCGAGAGCG